GAGTTAGGGAGGATTCCCTCTTTTTCTATTGATTGGAATAGTTTCAGAAGGAATGGTACCAGCTCCTCCTTGTACCTCTGGTAGAATTCAGCTGTGAATCCATCTGGTCCTGGACTTTTTTTGGTTGGTAGGCTTTTAATTATTGCCTCAATTTCAGAGCCTGCTATTGGTCTATTCAGGGATTCAACTTCTCCCTGGTTTAGACTTGGAAGAGTGTAAGTGTCCAGGAAATTATCCATTTCATCTAGATTTTCTAGTTTATTTGCGTAGAGGTGTTTATAGTATTCTCTGATGGTAGTTTGTATTTCTGTGGGGTCGGTGGTGATATCCCCTTTATCATTTTTTATCGCGTCTATTTGATTCTTCTCTCTTTTCTTCTTTATTAGTCTTGCTAGTGGTCTGTCAATTTTGTTGATGTTTTCAAAAAACCAACTCCTGGATTCATTGATTTTTTGGAGGGTTTTTTGTGTCTCTATCTCCTTCAGTTCTGCTCTGATCTTAGTTATTTCTTGCCTTCGGCTAGCTTTTGAATGCGTTTGCTCTTGCTTCTCTAGTTCTTTTAATTGTGATGTTAGAGTGTCAATTTTAGATCTTTCCTTCTTTCTCTTGTGTGCATTTAGTGCTATAAATTTCCCTCTACACACTGCTTTAAATATGTCCCAGAGATTCTGGTATGTTGTATCTTTGTTCTCATTGGTTTCAAAGAACATCTTTATTTCTGCCTTCATTTCGTTATGTACCCAGTAGTCATTCAGGAGCAGGTTGCTCAGTTTCCATGTAGTTGAGCGGTTTTGATTGAGTTTCTTAGTCCTGAGTTCTAGTTTGATTGCACTGTGGTCTGAGAGACAGTTTGTTATAATTTTTGTTCTTGTACATTTGCTGAGGAGTGCTTTACTTCCAATTATGTGGTCAATTTTGGAATAAGTGCGATGTGGTGCTGAGAAGAATGTATATTCTGTTGATTTGGGGTGGAGAGTTGTATAGATGTCTATTAGGTCTGCTTGCTGCAGAGATGAGTTCAATTCCTGGATATCCTTGTTAACTTTCTGTCTCCTTGATCTAATGTTGACAGTGGAGTGTTGAGGTCTCCCATTATTATTGTATGGGAGTCTAAGTCTCTTTGTAAGTCTCTAAGGACTTGCTTTATGAATCTGGGTGCTCCTGTATTGGGTGTATATATACATAGGATAGTTAGCTCTTCCTGTTGAATTGATCCTTTTACCATTATGTAATGGCCTTCTTTGCCTCTTTTGATCTTTGATGGTTTAAAGTCTGTTTTATCAGAGACTAGTATTGCAACCCCTGCTTTTTTTTGTTCTCCATTTGCTTGGTAAATCTTCCTCCATCCCTTTATTTTGAGCCTATGTATGTCTCTGCATGTGAGATGGGTCTCCTGAATACAGCAGACTGATGGGTCTTGACTCTTTATCCAGTTTGCCAGTCTGTGTCTTTTAATTGGAGCATTTAGTCCATTTACATTTAAGGTTAATATTGTTATGTGTGAACTTGATCCTGCCATTATGATATTAACTGGTTATTTTGCTCGTTAGTTGATGCAGTTTCTTCCTAGCCTCAATGGTCTTTACATTTTGGCATGTTTTTGCAATGGCTGGTACCGGTTGTTCCTTTCCATGTTTAGTGCTTCCTTCAGGGTCTCTTGTAAGGCAGGCCTGGTGGTGACAAAATCTCTAAGCATTTGCTTATCTGTAAAGGATTGTATTTCTCCTTCACTTATGAAACTTAGTTTGGCTGGATATGAAATTCTGGGTTTAAAATTCTTTTCTTTAAGAATGTTGAATATTGGCCCCCACTCTCTTCTGGCTTGTAGAGTTTCTGCCAAGAGATCTGCTGTTAGTCTGATGGGCTTCCCGTTGTGGGTAACCCGACGTTTCTCTCTGGCTGCCCTTAAGATTTTTTCCTTCATTTCAACTTTGGTGAATCTGGCAATTATGTGTCTTGGAGTTGCTCTTCTCAAGGAGTATCTTTGTGGCGTTCTTTGTATTTCCTGGATTTGAATGTTGGCCTGCCCTACTAGGTTGGGGAAGTTCTCCTGGATGATATCCTGCAGAGTGTTTTCCAACTTGGTTCCATTTTCCCCCTCACTTTCAGGCACCCCAATCAGACGTAGATTTGGTCTTTTTACATAATCCCATACTTCTTGCAGGCTTTGTTCATTTCTTTTTCTTCTTTTTTCTTTTGGTTTCTCTTCTCGCTTCATTTCATTCATTTGATCCTCAATCACTGATACTCTTTCTTCCAGTTGATCGAGTCGGTTACTGAAGCTTGTGCATTTGTCACGTATTTCTTGTGTCATGGTTTTCATCTCTTTCATTTCGTTTATGACCTTCTCTGCATTAATTACTCTAGCCATCAGTTCTTCCACTTTTTTTTTCAAGATTTTTAGTTTCTTTGTGCTGGGTACGTAATTCCTCCTTTAGCTCTGAGAAGTTTGATGGACTGAAGCCTTCTTCTCTCATCTCGTCAAAGTCATTCTCCGTCCAGCTTTGATCCGTTGCTGGCGATGAGCTGCGCTCCTTTGCCGGGGGAGATGCGCTCTTATTTTTTGAATTTCCAGCTTTTCTGCCCTGCTTTTTCCCCATCTTTGTGGTTTTATCTGCCTCTGGTCTTTGATGATGATGGTGACGTACTGATGGGGTTTTGGTGTAGGTGTCCTTCCTGTTTGATAGTTTTCCTTCTAACAGTCAGGACCCTCAGCTGTAGGTCTGTTGGAGATTGCTTGAGGTCCACTCCAGACCCTGTTTTCCTGGGTGTCAGCAGCAGAGGCTGCAGAAGATAGAATATTGCTGAACAGCGAGTGTACCTCTCTGATTCTTGCTTTCGAGGCTTCCTCTCAGAGGTGTACTCCACCCTGTGAGGTGTGGGGTGTCAGACTGCCCCTAGTGGGTGATGTCTCCCGGTTAGGTTACTCAGGGGTCAGGGACCCACTTGAGCAGGCAGTCTGTCCCTTCTCAGATCTCAACCTCCGTGTTGGGAGATCCACTGCACTCTTCAAAGCTGTCAGACAGAGTCGTTTGCGTCTGCAGAGGTTTCTGCTGCTTTTGTTGTTTACTGCGCCCTGTCCCCAGAGGTGGTGTCTGCAGAGACAGGCAGGTTTCCTTGAGCTGCTGTGAGCTCCACCCAGTTCGAGCTTCCCAGAGGCTTTCTTTACCTACTTAAGCCTCAGCAATGGCGGGCGCCCCTCCCCCAGCCTCGCTGCTGCCTTGCCGCGATATTGCAGACTGCTGTGCTAGCAATGAGGGAGGCTCCGTGGACGTGGGACCCTCCCGGCCAGGTGTGGGATATAATCTCCTGGTGTGCCTGTTTGCTTAAAGCGCAGTATTGGGGTGGGAGTTACCTGATTTTCCAGGTGTTGTGTGTCTCAGTTCCCCTGGCTAGGAAAAGGGATTCCCTTTCCCCTTGCGCTTCCCAGGTGAGGCAATGCCTCCCCCTGCTTCAGCTCTCGCTGGTCGGGCTGCAGCAGCTGACCAGCACCGATTGTCTGGCACTCCCTAGTGAGATGAACCCAGTACCTCAGTTGAAAATGCAGAAATCACCATTCTTCTGTGTCGTTGGCGCTGGGAGATGGAGACTGGAGCTGTTGCTATTCGGCCATCTTGCTCCGCCGCTCCGATTACCTCAGCATGTTTTTAAACAGCGTTTTTGAAGTTACTAACTCGTGATTGCAAGGTTCACTTTCCTCGACTCCTGAGCTTCCAGAGGTCTCCCCTCCACTTCCTATCATGAGGATCCTCTCACACAGTGATTCTCAGAGAAGGCCTTAGATTATAGTTTTGTATAAAAGCAAGTCTGCAAATGTGAGACATTTAGAAGTTGGGATGTGGGTTCCCCAACCTCTGACTGAATATCTCCCTCCTGCCTTGAAGGGCTTTTAAGAAAACTTTCAAAATAGATTTTATTATTTTAGAGCAGTTTTAGGTTCATAGCAAAACTGAGTGGAAAGTACAGAGTTCCCGTATGCCCCTCCCCCAACACATGCACAGCCTCCCCCACTATCAACACCCCCAGCCAGAGTGGTATATTTGTTATAGTTGAGGAACTTACATGGACACATTATCACTCAAAGTCCATGGTTTACATTAGGGTTCACTCCTTCCATTGACTGTACAGTTTTTATAAATCATAAAGCCTTTATTTCTAATATGTCTGTGGTCTTATTTTACACAACAAGTTTTTCCAGAGAGGTACGGTGGAAATGGGATGGGGCTGGGGTAGAAATCTACCATCTTTTCTCTCTGAATTTTCCTCCTTTCTTCATTAGATTTATCCAAGTTTGGCATAGTGGAAATTCCTTCTAGAATCTGGCAGGTTGCTAAGTAATATTACTAGTTTCCAGCCCTGTTAAAATGTTTTTTGTATGTGTTCCCGCATAGTATTTCAAGGAGGCCTAAGAGGAGAATGAATCAGGGATTGCTAGCTTTCCACCAACATAGCTTGGAAGTTCCTTTAACTCTTTCACAGAGATAGAGAGTCCCTCTGTACCTCTTTTTATGCTGTTCCCACCTTCCTGTTTTTCTTGATCTGGCAATTTCCTACTTATTTTCCAAGACTCAGCTCACCTGTCTATCCTCTCCATAGGAAGACTTTCCTGAACTCCTAGGCTGCATGTCTTACAGTGTACTCTGTTTCAATCTGTTTTCACACCTGTTACACTGAGTGCTAGATTATGGGGAAACACCATTATTCATCTTCAATCTTTATCCCATGGCAAATTGCCTCTGGAAACTCTAGTAGATGTCTTATAAGGGTGACTTTTGTTCAGGGAGGAGAACACCCCCATTAAATTACAGAGGGATTTGAATATCCAGCATTGGAATATGGGACGGGATGACAGAGTGCTGTAGTATTCCCTTATTTTTAATTCTGATTATACATTATTGTTTTGTATTTAAAAAGTAAGAACATCTACTTATGTATAGGTTAACCTAGACAGGACTTTATTAAAATGCTCTCTTTAAAAAAAAATTAGGTACAGAAATGACTTCTTGAAAATCCATTCCTTTTATTGATTTTATTAATGTTGCATAGAAATATAAAGTTTCACACACCATACTTTTACTAACAAATGTAAATAAGAACAAATTACTTTTGAACAATTAAAATAACCAAATATTGATGATTTTCAATAAAGTATATTTTGAAATAATTTTGAAGCCATGAAAGACTAAAATTCGCTTTATGCTAAAATAAATCATATTCTCTCATAATGTAATTATTTATTTTTCTTAAAAAAGGAACCACCCAATAAGAGTTTAATTCACTAGGAAATTTTCAGCATTTCTCAATGCAATAGAGTGTTTCTACTATACTTCCTGGCATCATTCCTTTCCTTAGCACTTATCTTCACACTGGAAGAGGTGAACCAGGTGATTATGCCCCCTGTGGGGGCTGGTTCTGCCTCTGAACAGTGACTTGGCATGACAATTAGGTTCAAAATTACCTACATTTACCCTAAAGATTTCTTCAGAGCTGTCAGTCTTCCTGAAACTTCCTAAAACTACCCTAGCAAATACTTTTTCCTTTCTGCAAATACTGTTACTCAAACCACTGTATTTACCCCATTCTGAGCTTTCCATTCTCTGTTAACAATTTCTCAGGTGCTCATGAAGTTTTAAAGGACAAGACTCCTCTCAGAAGCACATACTACTCAGAAGCTCAAAGCAAATTAGGTTAGTTTACAATCCTTGCTACAGGACAGAAAATGAGGATTGAGTAAGTAATTTTCCTCATTTGAAAAGGAGAAAACAAGTACAAAAAGAGATTGAGTGATTTTTTAACAATCCTCTACATTTATACTTGTACTTTAAGGATTAAAATATAGTCTGATGCTCAAAACCAACTCTTTTTGAGAACAGACATCATTTTACAAACAAAGACACTGAGTCTCAGAGATTTGAGTCACTGTCTAAGGTAGTACAAATAGCAATCTATATTATTAGAACTTGAACTCAGGCTGGCTGTAGTGGCTCAGGCCTATAATCCCAGTGCTTTGGGAAGCCAAGGCAGGATTCAAAAGCAGCCTGGCCAATATAGCAAAAATCTGTCTCTACAAAGTATATTTTAAAAAATAGCCAGGTATGGTGGCACAACCTTCTAGTCCCAGCTACTTGGGAGGCTGGGGCAGGAGGATCACTTGAGCTCAGGAGGCTGAGGCTGTAGTAAGCAATGATCATGCCACTGGACTCCAGCATGGGTGATCATGAGACCCCTGTCTCTAAAAATAATAGAACTTGAACTCAAGTACTTTGATTCCCAGCACACAGAGCCTTTCCTTGCCACATCACAGTGCCTCTTGCTAACTTGAACATGGTGAGGAGCAGTGCAGCAGTCTGTATACCACCAACCAAAACTTGACTCAGTGGATGCTATGTAGATGCATGAAAGTCTGAGTAAAATGAATCCTATTGTCTTGAAAGAGGAATCCATGTATCATTTTCAATGTTGTCCTAGATAATCCTGATGTGCTTGATAAATAACAGCTGGTATGTGAATAACCATACAATTGCCATAATTATAAACAGAATTACAAATGATAATAGACTGGGGACAAACTACTAAGCAGTATGTTGAATATTAAAATGGTACATATGGGAATCTATATTATTCAACCTTCCAAAATGCATATTAAAGAACAATCTTGGTTAAAATATCAATACAAAATGATTTTAAGATTCTGATTTCTTAAAATAAATTTTCCAATTTTATTGTTTAAAAATATAAAAAATGATTTATTATATCGGCCAGGTGCGGTGGCTCACGCCTGTAATCCCAGCACTTTGGGAGGCCAAGATGGGTGGATCAGGAGGTCAGGAGATCGAGACCATCCTGGCTAACACGGTGAAACCCAGTCTCTACTAAAAATACAAAAAATTAGCTGGGCATGGTGGCAGGCACCTGTAGTCCCAGCTACTCGGGAGGCTGAGGCAGAATAGCGTGAACCCAGGAGGCGGAGCTTGCAGTGAGCTGAGATTGCACCACTGCACTCCAGCCGGGGCGACAGAGTGAGACTCCCTCTCAAAAAAAAAAAAGATTTCTTATATCATAAATTTTTTTCACTATAAAAGTTGAGTTTTCTCTTGGAAAACCAACAACTTGCTAGTAGCTTCCTTTTAAGCACATTTTGGTTATTAGAAGGACTTCACTGCAGGAGTAATCTTGCGGAAGAATTTATGACCTTGGGAATTTGTATTTTCAAAAATATAACCTGGAGGAGAGGGGTAACTTGCTTTGCAAATTTCCTGTATTTTTGGTGTGTACTCTATAGAGTACATGGTCACATCATCAAATGGAACAGAACTCTTAAAAGCAATATTTAAAGGTTTGCAACTCTCTGTTGGAATCAATTTGTGTGGCACATAGTGAGATCTGAAAGTGCTCAAACCATCAAATTTTCCAGATGGGTTGGGAATCTGCTGCTTCTTAATAACTCCTTGACGACAATTTTCCCATGCTGGAAAATCTTCCTTCATGGTGCTTTTTCCTTGGAAAGGAAAATTGTTACTTCTTCTATGAGAAACTGGCCTGATGGGAAGTATACGGTTGGCCTGATACGGAACATAGTCAAGATGGCTTGTGCTGTTTAATAGCATGCTACCTGTAGGTGGCACATACTCTGGCACTTTCTTGACCTCAGGTGGTGGGATTTCCCATGGTTGAAAACATTCACGGAATTCAGTGCTTCCTTCAAACCGAGCATTCTGGGTCACTCTGGTGTGTACAGGTCTGCAGATTTTTGCAGTTTCACCAATAAGACCCTGAAAGTCATACCGGTGAGTTGTGAGATCCTCAAAGCGTTGCTCAGTTGGTTTGTAAACTTCTTTTGGCCTTTCAAACTTGAGTTCAAGCTGATGAGGTATATAATCAAGGCGATGACTTGTAATGCCATTAAAAGGGGCTGTAGAACGTTTGACCACAGAGGAGGGTTTAAAGCTTTGCCCACTTTGCCTAGGCTTTATCTCCTGAGGAACAAAGTCATCCTGAAATGTAGTTGAATTTCCAAATTTCACAGTAGGGAGTTGATAAGTTTGTTCTGGCTTATAAAGTTCACTTTTATGAAGGTCCCAAGCTCTATAATCATCTTGAAAATTAAAACAAAGCAAAAACATTTTTAAATGCTGAAGGAAACCATCTTCTAAAAATCATAACTGATTTCTCTCATTGCCAAACATCTTTCCATTTCCTTTAGAAATCTAAACAATAGTATCAGAATACAGTTTCTCTGATTCCTTTCAGATTTGTTCTTTTTCTTCATTTCCACCTTCCTCTACCCATCTCCTCACTTTAATACATATAACTTTCCACTTTCAGATTCATCTGATTACATAACAAAGGAAAGGCACATCTGAACCTGATTGCTGATAGTTCTTGAAAGCCAAAAGGACTGTGTTGTAGGTGAGGACAGAGTTTAGGAGATTATGGTTGAATTCCTAGGAAGTGGTTGGGATTTTAAGTACAACTCACAAAATGCTAAGGTATGTCTAAAATCCAGGGCTTGAAATAAAATCAAGTGCCCTCATGTGTGGGCAAAAGTAATACAGATATTACTCCTTGCTTTGGAGAGAATCATCAAAGGAGAGAAAGTTTTAATTCTGGTATACTCTAGGAAGCTACAGAAAGAACTCCTTGGGTAAAGATACAGGGTAACATGTGCTATCCCAGAAAGATCTCTTGGCTTCAACTTTCCCTCATGAAAAGGACTTTAAGGCATTCCCAAAAGATAGAGGGCCATCTAGAGGCCATAGGCCTTAACTGAATGCCCTCAAAGGTGTTTGAAATTGTAGAATTTGAAGTGACCGTCAGAGCAAAGATCTAGGGTTTGGAAGTTAAATAACCTTAAGCCTACTTCCTGCAGTTTACCTAGACTGTGGAGCATTTTGGGTCACTCTGGTGTCTACAGAGTGATGACTTGTAATACCATTACAAGTTGGTAATGGTACACTTCACTAAAACCGAAATGTTTATATTTCAACTAAGGATTATTTGTGTTTTCTATTTCTACATGAGGAAGATAGTAAGCTAGGGAATACCAAAGAATTGACTTCACCCCAAAATATGTATTTCTAAATACTAAAAATTAATTTACAAAAGATAGAAATTTATTATGCAAGATAACGTACTAAAATCTGGATTAAAGTCTATGCAATATTTACAGGAAAGGTCAAACCTTGAAAACTTATTATGTGGATATCTTTGAAGAGATAAAATGCTTATCCATTTCTGCCCAAATGGCCGAGTTTTGGACTAAATGATCAAATTACTGATGTTTGGATGAGAGAGGGCACCTGACTCAAAAATAGGTGACCTTTAGGCTAGCAGAGACCTTGAAGACAAACTGACAGAAAAGATGAGCTAGATCAAGCATTCTTATTCTTGTAAACCTAAAATTGAAAATAATGAGTGAGATAGAAATGGGAGAATTGAAAAGGATGCCAGGAGGTAGAGCTGAAGAGCCATGGAAAGCTGAAGTTACATTCAAAACAGACCTGTAAAGAAACAGAAAAGGTAACTAGGCAGCGGCGGCCAGTTAGTAAAGGGGCAATCAGAGCAGATGAGTGAAGGCAAGTGAAGGTGCTGTGAGAGAAATCGTGTAGCTCATTGCGGAGATGAAGGGAAAAGTTCTTCCTTCAAGCTCCCTGGGCACCTGATAGTTTTCCATTTTCAGTTCACATGAAGCTTTACTGGAGTCTTTTTTTCTCGAGGTACCATGAGGGAATCTCTTTTCTTTGCAAACTAAAGTATAAAAGTATAACACTATTTTTCACTAAAAGGATTCACAGATGTTATTGAAGGTTTATAGTTTCCACACAATCATATAAGGAGAATTCTTGCTGTCAAATAAGAGAAAAAAGATTTTCATTACAAGAGAGTTAACAGAAGAGAATATTTCTCTCTCACCAAACCAGCTTTGGTTTTCAAAATGGAAGCAAGAATTTGGACACTGAGAGATGGATGTAATAGCGTACAATAGTATGAATGTAAGTTCTAGATAATTGCAGAACATTTATCTTCTCCCTATAAATATACTTATGCTCATATGCCTGGAATATTTCTCTGTTCTGGAATATTTATTGATAACATTCTAGCAATACCTTTAAAACATCATAATCTTTATCATTTGTTTTTAGTCTTTTATAATACTTATGGAAAAAAACAAGAAAACAAACAATGCTGTCCACATCTAACAATATAGTCTGGTTATGCAGCAGCTCCACTATTACCCTTGTTAGACATTTCCTCAGCTCACTTTTTAGTGAGCTAAAATCTATTTAGAAAGTTTATTCTCTTCTGAACAGTTTTAAGTCCAAGAATTGCCTGCATGCACTTGCACACTATTTGTATACACAGCGCCAACCCCACTTTAATATAGTGAGCTATTCTAGGTTCTTCTTTGAGGACAAAAGTCTTGAGTTGCTTATGCTAGTACTTTTTCCTGGTACTTGGGACTGCTCCCTGTGGTGTTTTATGGTACCAACGAATTGGAAACTACTTTTAGAAAGTCAGAGGACATCATCCTGGGTCTCAGCTTTTTCAATCTACATATCACCACTCTACTCCCAGGTTTTAATACTACCTGTATGCTGGCGACTCCCAAACTTGAATCTCTACTTCAGACCTCCCTTCAAACACCAAACCACATATTTATCTGCCTACTAGACATCTTTATTTGGATGTCCCTCAGATAAATGAAAACCTAGCATGCCCCAGTTGATTATCTCACTCAGACTCACGTTCTGCAGAAAATAACATTATCAACAAAATTTCTATTATGAATTTGGCATCAGGCTAAGGTTCTGTTTAATTAATTGACTTTCTCTACCTCATTTCCTTCTCTCCTTTTCAAGTAGTTTTCAAATACTGTTGATATTACCTTCTAAATATTAATTTCTTCCTTCTTGAAGCAAACATGGAATGAATGGCAACCAGATAAAATTGTCGCAAATTAGAAAAAGAAAAAAGAAGAGGCCACAATGTAAAATAAACATCTATAAGGTTTGTAGTGCTATTCTCTTTCATTCTTGATATTTGTAATTGGTGTATTCTCTCTTTTGGTTCATTAACTTATTATCTTTTAAAAGAACCAATTTTTGGTTTCATTTTTTATCTCTATTGTTTTTTTGTTTTCAAATTAATTGATTGCTGCTGTTATCCTTGTATATTTCCTTCTACTTTGCTTTGGATTTAATTTGCTGTTATTTTTCTAGTTTCATACAATAAAGGTTAAGGCTATTAAGACTTTCTTTTCTAATGTGAACCTTAAATGCTATAAATTTTCCTCAAAGCATTGCTTTAGAGGCATCTCTCAGATTTTGATATACTATATTTTCATTTTCATTAAATTCAAAATATTTTCTAATTTCTTTTACTTTTGCTTAAAACAATTTGTTATTTAGAAATTTGCTGTTTAATTTCCAAATATTTGGTGATTTTTCCACTTTTTTTCTATTATTGATGTCTAATTCAATTCTGTCATGATCAAAAACACACATTGCATGATTTCAATTCTTTTATATTTGTTAAGGTTTGTTTTATGACTCCAGATATAGTTTATCTGAATGAACGTTTCATGTGCACTTGAAAAGAATGTGTATTCTGTTATCATTGGCAGAAGTGCTCAATTTGGACAACATTGTTGATAGTGTTGTTCAGGTCTTTATATCCTTATCCTTTCCTATGTTCTAATAGGTTACTTAAAGACAGTGAAGTCTCCAACTACAAATGCATATTTTTACATTTCTTATGTTAGTACTGTAAGTTTTTGCTTTGAGTATTTGAAGATCAAGTGTTAAGGGCATACACATTTAGAATCTTGTGTTTGGAAAATGGAAGGTGAGTGTGTGGTGGTTTCTCTGTTGTCCCTGTCCAGCTTCAGTCTTAGGCAGGCCCTATGCCCCTGTGTCGCAGAAGCAGGGCTCTCTCAGTGCACCTGCCCCTTCACTTGATGTAGTAGGTCTCTAATTGTTGGTCCTGAGACAGTTTCCTGTTCTTTCTTCATGTTCAAGGTTTAGTTTTATTTTGCTTCTTGTTGTTGTTTTTCCTTTATCTTTCATCAAGTTGCAATACATCTTCACCTATTCATTGGGGCTGTCAGAGTGATGCCTCTCCTGCAGTGGATTAATGCTTTCGTTCTGTAGGTTAAAGGCATTCAAATGGAGCTTCCTGCTTTTTTTCTTTTGCAACAACAACAATTATTCTCTCCATGCCTGCACTATGAAGTAAACTTTCTGTGGTCTCCAACCTCTTTTCCAATCTTTCTGATGATCACACAGTGAACATCCATAGGGAAGTGTCTATGAGTGGTTTTGAACTCCCCCTTTAGCGTCTGACGTTCTCAGAGCTTCTATAGTCTCACAGTAGCTCACACTCAAGTCTTTAGCAATTAGTTAAAGATGTAAATGAATTATTTTATCCACTTGTGTAACAGCTAGTCTCATTCTATGCCCTGCTTTGGGTGAAACAGTGCTTGCCTCCTGTCTCAACTGGGTGGAAGTTGTTTTTCCTTAATGTCAGGCTAATTGGTTAACCTGTGATCTCAGCTTTCTAAAGGATTCATACACATTTATCATTTTGTAGATTATCTGGCTTTTTCTTATTGTTATGTTGGGGTCATAATCTTTCCGACTTTCTGCATCCCACACAGAATCTGAAAATGCTGGATTTCTGTATGGTGAGGTTTAAAATTACACCTTCAATTCTACAAATTCAATTTGCTTTATAGATATAGGGTTATTTTTACTTTTTATTTCTTCTTGGGTTACTTTTGGTGAATTGTATTTTTCAAAAAATTTATCAATTTTATGTAAGTTGTAAATTACTGGCATATTTTTAAGAATATATCTTTTTAATGTGTGAAAAATCAATCTTTGAATTTTAATCACAATATTTTGTTCATTTACACTTAATATAACGATCCAGCTGGGCTTAAGTTGACTGTATTGCTATTTGCTTTTGATTTTTCCCTTCTTTGTTCCCATGCCCCTTATTTCCTGCCTTCTTTTGTATTAATAAATGGAATTTTTATTATTCCACTTTACTATTAGAATTTTATCTATGTTTTAAAAATAAAAATGAATTTTTGAC